GAAAAGTCTTCACTACAAAAATGAATGTTCGCTCAAACCCTTCAATACCCTTTGTTATCATGTTTTTCTTTACTTTCATGTAAATATCTGCACATTTTGAGATGGTTAACGTGCATTCATTTCCTTGCCTCCTTCTCTTCTTCTAACTGAGTGAAGGGCATTTAACAAGCATCCAAACCTTCAGTGAGGAGACACGTATGGCTTTGTTCGCTGCCTGCAAATGGTTTTTGTTTTCTTGCCACGAGGTGGAGAAGGGCAGGGTTTCCTGCTGCGCCTTGGCAGGGTGCTGATAAAAGCTCAGTGAGTGTGTGTGTAGGGGGGGGGATTGTGTCAAAAGTCATTGGCTCTTAACCTTGATGACGTCCTTTATTCTGGGTTAGAAAAGATGTTATCATGTGTAAATACATTTGTCTAAATCTTCACCCACAGACCCTGAGCTCACTCTCTAAAACCGCCCCAGTGCTGCGACACCTGAGACGTCCCGCTGATCCTGTTTATGTGAATGAGATTAGAGATATTCTGGCTCACAGCACCAGAGAGGATTTATTGAATTGATTTTATCAAATTAAAAAAATAAAACACACACCATACCCATTAACAATCTCACCCACACTCACCGGATACAATAAAAACAATCTTCTCCTCTCCCTCCCGGGGAAAGAGAAATTAAAAAAGTCCAGATTATGTATCATGACTCACTCTGATAATCAAGCTGTGTAATTATCAGCCTACAGTCGTACTGTCTAATCTGACACTTCACGTCACAGCACATGTTCGTATATGTACTCATGAATCACACCCATGAACGCAGAAACCTTCCTATTTTTTAAATGAACTTTAACAACCCCCTCGCCCTCCTTCTCTCACACACAAACACATCTGATGAGGATCTTCTTTCATTGACTCGACATGCGTCCTCTAATCACTTAACTGACCAAAGCTGGACACAAATCTTAATCTTTTTCAGAATTCATAGCTGGAAACAGTGTTTAGTATTATTTCTTTGTTATCACACATTCAATTCAACCTTTATTGCAACATTATGTCTTTGTTCCAGCACCACTTGTGGTTTTGATTAACCATGGGTGGACACAAATGGCCTCTGGGCACAGGCATGCCAAAGACCCAACCACCTCTCCCACGGAGGAGCAAGAGAGACTTTACAGTTATTTAGCCTCCTTCTGTGGTTGCTTTGGGTCTCTTTGTGGTCGTTACGCACCTCTCTGTGGTTTTGTGTCTTTGTGGTCATTTTGTGGCACTTTAAAATGTTTTTTTTTTTTTTGTAGTCATTTTGCATCTCTTTGTAGTTACGTTGGTTTCTCTGTGGTTGTTTTATGTCTCGTTGTGGTCATTTGGAGTCTTTTTGTAGTTGTGTGGCCTCACTTTGCAATTGTTTTGATCTTTTTGTCGTTATGTTTTGTCTGTGAATGATTTGCTCGTGTTTTTTGTCATTTTGTGTCTCTTTACAGTTGCTTTTTGTCTTTTTGAGGTAATCTGATGTGTCTTTGTAGTATTTTTGTGTCACTTTGCAGTTATTTTGTTTGTTTACCATATTTATTGTAGATTTTTATATTTTCTATTTTCAAATGATGTCACACTATTGCACTGTGTTTTACTGTTACGCACCAAATCCCCGAGCCAAATTCCTTCAGTTAGTTGTTCACCAACAAGAGAAATTAAAACCATGCTCGTACATGTCACCGAATAAAATGCACAGCAGAGGAAGTGAAATAATGATTCAGTGCATTCAGACTCTACGGCTCCACCCTTTCAAATGGCTTCTTGTTGTTGTTGGGTTTTTTTTTCATTTTGTTGCATCATGGCCCAGCATGCATCAAAAAGCAGAATCATAACCAGTGCAACCAGTGCTATATACTGGTCGGTGGTGCAATGAAAACAGAGCACAGGCCAATCCGCTCATTAATTGACATATAAAGCAAAACAAAATGTTTAAAATGTTGTAACAAATGAAACCAACAACAGTATTTAATAACAGCAGACAGCCCTCCTCTTACAAATGTTTACTGTCACAGTTTCTGTCACGTGTTCACATTTTGTCAGATAAAAATTGCCCCGAAACTGCAAAATAATTCAGAATGGACAAATTTTGTGTATGCACGTGTTTCTTTTCTCCATCTTCTTAAATATATCCTTATACTGTTTTGCCATAATCAGCAAACCAAAACGTTCACATCTCTGCAGCAGCAGGATCCTCTTCTATCCCCTGCTGCCCCCTCCTGGAAGAAGTCTGTCATTACAACATGTGCACCTGATAAAGCTGTGTCCAGTGGAGTGTTTTTAAAAAATAAAGGTTTTTAAGATCATGTAAGTTCCCCCTCGACATTTTCTCTGCATTGTGTATGTAGTAGTAGTAATTAGTTCGTGGTAACTGGATTAAGCACAAAGGTGCTGTTGTGAAATGCACCATATAAACACACTGAAATAATACAGTTTAACTCAGGACCCCCTCTACAAGACAGGACCTCACTATTAGATAATAATTATTTATTTTTTCTTCAAGAACCCAATCATTTCAGTTTTTCCAATTTACAATCAAAAAAGATATTTTAAATGAATCGCCACCAATGTTTAAACCTGGAAGCTTCAGTCCCCTGATGGTCTGGGGCTCTAAAACAGTTGCCTGCTAATCTAGCCTTGATACAAGTAGGTCTAAAAAAGAAGAGTTTGGAGAGAACATGAAGGACATTGCAGCTGTCTCTACTGAAGGCGGGGTCGGTGTTATAGTTGCATGATGAAGATAACAGAATTGGTCAGAGTACCACCGGATGAGTTGTCGTGGCTCTCTGTCTACAGACGTCGCTGCTTCCTGCAGAAGAGCTGAGATGAGGGCAATAAGGGGGAAAAGTTCAGCTCCCACATAAGACTGCTAAGTTAATGTTAATGTTAAAGTTACCTCTAAACCATCACTGACCTAGTCCTGGACCCCCTGCATTGAGCCAACATGGTCTGGAGATGTTGTGATAAACCCCTCCCACCTTGGATTCAAACTCTTTGAGTCACTTCCCTCTGGAGGCTGCGATCCATCAGGACTACAAAGAAAACATCACAAAAACAGTTTCTTCCAATCCGCAGCTGGCCTCATCAACAAGGCCGTGACCCCCCCCGACACGGACTCTTGTCCCCTCCTATAGACACTACACCTTACGTTGACCTCTTCACATCTGGACATGCACTACATTAACACACATATTCTGTTTATACTTTGTTAATGTGAACCGTTGCACGTTTCTTGGGTCATTTTGCACATTTCTGCACCAAAACTTTCACTTCTACAAGCAGCTCTGTGATTTAATACAGATATATCTCATATATATTTGTATGGTATTTTTACTGTAGTTTTCTTCTATTCTATATTTATGTTTAAATACTTCTTTTTATTTATATTTTACTATGTGTATGTTATGCAACAACACACGTAAGCTAATTCTGTGTATGGGAAAACCTACTTGGCAATGAAGCTATGATACTACATTATTTACACTTCAGTTCAATGTATTTTGGTTTACAATGAAGGATTGTTAAATACAAATCATGTGCAATATTCTGATGAGAAACATTTCTTCCCGGGAGAGTAGGACAGCGTGGCTGTGGGTGAAGACGTCCATCTGTCTTTTCTGTGATGGACGTCTCCTGTAGGATTGTTCTGTGTAAAATAGAGACTCTAGCAAGAAACCGTCAGATCTTTGAGGTACTTTGATTGTACTTGAGTATATAAGTACTTATACTTATTCATTATAATCCAGCCATAATAATATGTATATGATTCTAAAATGGGCCATTCTGCTTGCATAATAAGTACTTTTGGTAAATCTATTTTGTGTGAATACTTTTGTACTTTTACTAAGAGTTTGAATGCAGATCAGTGTACACACACACACACACACACACACACACAATAGAGTGTTTGCACACTGACCAAAACACATTGTAGCTGCATTGACAATATGTTGGACCAATTATCTTCCAGAATATAAGAAATACACAAAACAGTGGACCTGAGATGTGATGTTTAGGGTGATTTTTATCTTTGCGGTTGAACATTTACAGTTAACCTATGAATGAATATAGATGATGGGGTCGTGTGGCTCTCGGTGGTCTGAGGATCAAATGGCTGCAGACTTTAGTGAACTTCTTCGGTAAAGATGTACGTTTGTGTCTCTGTCTGTCCGCCTGCTGTCTGGCTGATGACCTCTGGATGTGTTCGGCCGCTGCAGCACATCACTCATGATGTCACTGATCCTGGAAGTTCAGAGGTCAAACTGACCTCACAGGAAACCTGGAAGACAGACGCTCGCTTCGTCTGGAGGCCAATGAGAGGTGATCAGACATCGTGAACCTGCAACGACTTATCAGGCCTGAAAATAGATTTCAGGAGACGCTCTCACAGACTGAGGCTGAGCTGATCTTTCCTTCATCAATACTGAGGTTGTCTGTCTGTTGTCTTTCATTTTGTAGAATTGATGACAGAATGCTTAGAGCAGTTATATTATCATTTATCAATAAAAGATTATTACACATAAAGAAAATGTCAAACACATAAAATCTGGCCCATTTTTAGAATTTGTGTGATTTTAACAGGAGACACTGTTGGCAAAAAAAATATGTTTTCAATAAGCTGGTCAATTTTTGGACTTCTTTTCTTCTACACTAGTGGAAAGAAAACACAAAATACATATTTAGGTTTTTATTTTACTACTTTGTCTGAACATGGCCAAAACAGATGTTTCGGGCTGTTTTTTGACCGTATTTTCTGATTTAGGGAGTGATATAAAGATAAATCCAAAATTCCATCTGTTAAAACCTTTGACTCTAGTATGTAAACAAAATTAAACAAATATGTTGAACCTCGCTTTATGAAATGTTTGTATTTCTGTTCAGGAAATATTTGCAAATTCCCAGAAAAATCCCAGAAAACTTGTAATACAAAGGACTCAACTCAAAGCTTTATATTTGGAACAAAATAAACAACAAAACCCTCAGCATGTTGAACTTAATGACTTTTATTCTGTAGGCACTTTCAATTCACACAAAGAAAAAACAATGGTGGAAAACTAAAGATTAAGTCACATCCTCTTCATTATGTTCACCTCTTTCTTTTATACAGAAGAAAAGCAGCACTGCGTCGTCTAAGTGAAAGGCAGCCGTGTCACACAGCTGTAAAAATCCAACCTCTCTGAGTCTGCAGGTATCTGCACCATGACGTCAGAGGAGACAGCAAACAATAGGAGCAGATAAATTAAGTCTAAGCTCATGAAGCATCCACCCTGCTGAAGTGTCCTTGAGCCTGACGCTGAATCCCTGTCAGATCATCTGCAGCTAACCCCGACATCCGACCTCCTTCTGGGACAGAAGAGTCTCATTACCATCGTCAGTATTCTTATTTCATTCACATAATGCTGGAAATGTAAAGGCTCTGTGAAAACTCGTTTGGTGGCTTCCTGCAGCAGCTCAACTGAAAGAGTTATGCAGATCAGATTGTGTTCTTCTCGTGAAAGTCAGGATTTATTTTGTGTTAAATTATCTTTTTGCTTTAGATATATACATGTGTGTCTAAAGAAGGAGCTTGCATGACTTTCAGGTCTATTTATCTGAATGCAGTAGACACATCTTAATCCATAACTGGCTCACCTGGTCTCCTATCAGCAGCATGCAACAACGTACAAGTACCACGCAAAAGAGAAAAGGACAGCAAGAATCACGAAAAGGGACAGGCGTGTGAAGAGAAGCAGATTTTAGCTTCTCAGTGCTACAGCGAGGGAATGAGAGGAGGAGGGACCGAATGTACAGCACGAGATCATCATTATAATAAGAAGAATCATACAGGTGAGAGGTTTCATTTCCCTTCAGGAGCTCTTGTCTTCAAAGTAGGTCTGTTCGATGCGTCTGCAGAAGGACAGCAGGTTGCTGTAGCTCTTGATCCTCTCTGCCAGCTCAGTGCTGGTCAGTCTGGTGGTCAGTATGGTGAAGAGGTGACCGAACACCAACGCATCCAGTTCTGTGGGCCTGCAACACACACACACACACACACACACACACACACACACACACACACACA